AAATACTAAAAACACTTTAATCTATATTTTTAAAATATAGATTAAATAAGTTTTTTATAATTTTTTTTAGTCAATGTCCCAGTGGTCAAGACTAATCTCCACCACGTTTAATCATCAAATTAAGCGGTTTCAAGTCATCGGACGGCTAAGAGAAATGTAGTTGTCGCCCCAGACACAGACTGATTGCCCATTTCGGAGGAAAACGCACGTCCCGTCATCTGAGAGTCATCCCGTCCCGTCCCGTCCCGGTCCAGGACCAGGTCCACCTATCATCAAGTTTTGAACCCCACCTGAACTCTCTCCACAACCACAACGAACATCAGATATTATGGAGCAAATGGTGTCAGCTCGCGCTGAATAGGGATTTCACTTTCACACTTTCCCCTCCTCTCCTTCACTGATTAATGTCGCAACCTCTACTTGAGCAAGGTTTCTCCTTTATCACATCCATTACTGGATTTCTTTTGTGGCGTTGAATTTTGTTAGATTTGCTATAACTTTACGAGTTTTGAGTCATTCTAATATGTAAGGTCGCTCTTGCTTTACGGTTGTGATTTCTTTTTCTATCTGGGGTAAGTTGGAGAAAAGTAGTAGGAAGATTTTGAATTTGATTTTAATTTTTCCCTCGAGAAGGGGCTGTTAATGGGCGTAGAAGTTTTGGGTTTTCTATATTTCTGTCACTGAAAGAACATCAAAAAATTCCAATGCTTTTAAGCGTAATTAGCTGACAATAATGGATTTAGAGCAGCAAAGTAAGATTTTCTTTCTTTTTGAGTTTTGGGTACATTCGAGGTTAAAGTTAGCTACTGTAGCAAATGACCCCTTTAGTACTTTGACCCCAAATGATGGTTTTTTAGTTAGTGGGTACTAACTAATAGCTAAGTAAGTTGTTTGGACCAAGAAATAAACTTGGTTCCTAGGAAAACTGATCACGATGAAGTAATTTGGGATCATTTCTCTGTCTAGAATTCAGATTGCAGTAATATGAAGGGATATAAAAACCTATACATAGGGTCTAAATGTGAGAAACAACTTGGTTGAGTCATCAGACTATAATTTTACTTTGAGTTTTAGTTTTCCAATTGTTAAGAAGCATGTTTAACTATTTCTTCTACCATGTTACTAGAGAACTGGGAAAATGGAATGCTGAGTTTAATTGAGCCAAGATTTCCTTTAGAGGGATGATTACTTGTGATGTGTACATTTTTCATGTTTACTTGATTGGAATACTCAGTACATCCACAAAAGCTCTATTTTATTAATGGAAAGAAGGTTTACTTCTAAATATTCTCAAATAATATCTTTTGTGTTTACCGTGAAACTTATTTAGAATTTGTTTGTAATCAAACTATAACTTTTTGGATCTATACACTAATAGATACCTGCTATTTCTCGAGACTATAGCTGGTTGGGTTTTGACATCTCTCTTTTCCATTTTCCTTTTCTTTCTCCTTATTAGGGGATACAATGGGTGACATTTCAGAAAATCATTCTGCTTCATTGTTAGAGAGGGTTGCAAACTTTAGAACCATCCTATGGGAAGCATACCAAAGAAAGCCAATCTCACATTGGATTCTTCTATTTCTAAGCAGTATGGCAATGCTTGTGGCATTCCCTGCTTCAACCCTTCTGTCTCGTGTCTATTATGCCAATGGGGGCACCAGCAAATGGATCATTTCTTGGGTGGCTGTTGCTGGGTGGCCTTTAACTGCTTTGATCTTGATTCCTACATACTTTATCTGTAAAACTTTTCCTACTCCTATGAACTTGAACCTTTTTCTTTCTTATGTTCTTCTGGGTTTCTTAAGTGCTGCTGACAATCTCATGTATGCCTATGCCTATGCTTACCTCCCAGCATCAACTGCTGCTCTCGTGGCATCATCATCTCTGGTGTTTTCTACACTTTTTGGTTATTTTATTGTGAAGAACAAACTGAATGCTGGAGTGATAAATGCTGTTGTGATAATAACTGCCGCCGTGACTGTGATTGCATTGGATTCTGATTCTGATAGATACAGCAATGTCAGTGACAGACAATATATTTTGGGTTTTGTCTGGGACATACTGGGATCTGCACTCCATGGACTAATCTTTGCTCTTTCCGAGCTGGTTTTCATAAAGTTACTGGGAAGAAGGTCGTTTCACGTTGTCTTGGAACAACAAGTCATGGTATCATTCATGGCCTTTGTATTTACCACCATTGGTGTCATTGTAAATAAGGATTTTCAAGGGATGGCATCGGAAGCAAAAACTTTCAAGGGTGGTGAAGCTGCATATGAGCTAGTTCTGATTTGGGGTGCAATTACCTTTCAGTTGGGTGTATTAGGAAGCACTGCTGTACTCTTTCTGGCTTCCACAGTGCTGGCTGGTGTTCTCAATGCAGTTAGAGTACCATTGACGAGCATTGCAGCCGTTATATTGTTACACGATCCAATGAGTGGTTTGAAGATCCTATCTCTTGTCATTACATTTTGGGGATTTGGTTCCTACATATATGGCAATTCCACTGAGAATAAGTTATCCTAGTGATAATGACCAAAAATGTGATTCTAGTGACAACCGTGTACCTTGGTATCTACACATTAGCATAGAGTGTGTGCTATACAATTATTCGGGTTACACTTGTTTTCTTATTATACTGAAACTGTGATGTAGAGGTTGGAGTTTGATTATGACTCTTTCCGATGTATTAATAAAATTTTACAAGAGGAATTAAGAATATATAAATTTGAGTCATCAAACTTATGTGTGGTACGAACTAGGTGTGAGCATTGGGTACGGGTATATCTGATATTTTTGGGTATTTGACTTGTTTAGGTAGGTATTTTACTTGTAACTGTAAAGAAACAAGTACCGGATATGAAAAATGCATACCTGTTAAGTATCAAACAAGTATTGGGTATGAGAGTCAATACTTGCATACCTTACTTATATACTTGATTCATATACCTGACCTGTATACCTAAACCTAATTCATATACCTGACCTGTGTATTTGACTTATATATCTTACAAATATTCTAGTTTAATATACTTAATTTATAATATAATGTTACGAAATCAAAATGTTTATTTTTCTTTTCTTTTCTTCTACGGTGAAAATTCAATTAAAGGAAAATCAC